AAGAAAATAGATCTCAAATATGGTTTGGGATTTTCATTATTAGATATTTTGATTGCTGGTTGTGTGTGTTCAATTGTGAATACAAACAGGTTGGCGCCGGAGTCCGACCAGCTAGCTGAACAGACGCGTTCATTGGGCTCCAACTGCAAATTCAGATTAATCAACAATAATTACTGATACCAAGCTCATACACACGTCGGGGTGCCCTACCTGTGCTCAGGGTGCCCTGGTGAATCTCCTGATACCTCACTAGAATAATTTGGTGCCCAGGAGCCCGAGGTGTCTGGCCACGGCCTGCAGGTGACGGAACTGGGGAGAGACGGTCACTTTCCCTGTCCTTTCATCTGTGGATCCACAGGCACAATACTCTCCCCCCATACGGGTGGGGGTTTTCCCGGTCCATCCCTGGGAGGCAGCCCGGCTATAAAGGAGGCAAGAGACAGGCCCACACAGGCAACTCGCAGTAACAGAGCTGAGCACAATGGCGGACGCCATGTGCACATAAAGCCACTGTGAGTAAGAATCCAATATCCTGACAAAGCTGGAAAGCACTTTCAAAGCCTTCTGGAAGAAACTGGCACACTAACTCAAGCAGGCTGTGACACGCACAGCGGATGAGTTCTTACCCGAGGTGCCATCTCCATGCTCCCTACACAGCCAAGCAACCCCCAGACTGAAGAGTGCAGACCAATGGTGCCGGAGAAAGCGACGTCTCCCGCCCACACGCAAACCTACTCAACTGTGTAGGGATAAGATGGGGACCCTTCACAAGGACTCGCTCACAAGCAGCCAGACAGCAACAACGGTGACGGGCTCACGCCGGAATGCCTACTCTCTCTGAGGTACCAGGGGGAACCCTGATTGTGCCAAGAGGCCTAAATTGACAATCCTCCTTAAGCTGTGACAGCCTGCAGTACTCATCCTGGTTACGGGACTCTGTTCATCCTCTGGCTGGCATAGGTTAACCTGGGCCTGAAGGGCTCAATGGCCATTCACTTTACCTTCTGAAGATATATGGGCAACGTTCAACTACTCTAGCAACTTCTTATGCCGTTCTTAAAGTAAATTACTCGCTCCCCAGGTAACAAGATATCCCTCTGACTGGTTTGGGGCCTCCTAAGGGACTTATCATGTCATATGCTCATGTTATATGTTTTATACCTTGTTCCTTTTATACAACCTACTAGTCAAGCATGGTACCTAACATCTACTTAATACCTAGGTTACTATATTCCCTATGTGCCTAGCATGTTCCATATCATAAAAGTGCTGTGTTTCTCTTAGGACAGGTTTTAGCTACACCGTTAACATCACTCTTGTACTTGTCTGCTAAAATGTCTTTATCAGCTTACATGTACCACTATGCACGCAAAAGTATTACTACCTAAAAAATGTGCTCTATTATCGAATGCCCTTTACTGTTTAACTACGTATGCTAATTCTCTTGCAATTGCTGTTGGGGCAGTGTAAGATTATTTGTTCCTCTGATGCACAAAAAAAAAAAAAATACAAATAGGTTTAGAAGCATATGTGTTTATTTTTTTAGTTTTTTCTAAAAGTCATTATTTGTATAGATCTTACTTCCATTTATTTTACATAAAATCGTATTACGAGGGGGCAGAGCTAGCCAGCGCTCTGATCAGCCGCATTAGTTCCGAGCTCTGGCAACCGGCCTGCAATACAGTGAACCACAAAAAGCAGTGATCTCCGGTCTCCAACAGCACCACCCGATGAAGAAAGCCATGGGGAAACACTCCCAAAAGTCTCGAGGGTCTAGCAGGAGACAAACCCGCGATATCGGACTGCTCCTCTCATGACCTCCAGGGCCCAAGATGGTGGATGCATTCCCAGACTTACCTCAGGATTCTTCTCAGGCTCTGACGAAGAGGACCAGAAGGAAGACGAGCTCTTACCACAGCTGGGGGGGCAATAAAGCTTTGTCACTGAAAGGAATCTCCACTAGCCACTAAACAGATTTAAACACCATGGTGGCCAACCTTAAAGCATTTTTTGCATCTGAGATAGGCACACTAAAGAAAGAGATTGGCACACTGTCTGGCTGCATTCAAACTACAGAATAAGACATTAAAGGCCTAGGACTCCACAGGACAAACCACAGCTGCAACCCAAATACAAGTTCTAAGCGACCAGTGCACATTACTGAATGCCAAAGTGGGCCAGTTTGAATATAATGCAAGACAGCGTACTCTGAAGGTGAGAGGGATCCCAGACACCATAGATGCAGGTGAACTGCCACAATTTATCAGACGTTTACTCTCTGCCACACTGTCACATAACCAGGCTAAATACCTAACCCTGGAGGGCCTCTACCGCTTACCCAGATGATCTTCCACCAACTCATTACCCCCAGGAATGTCATACTCCGCTTTCGATCACGGGCTGACAAGGAAGCACTTATGGCCGTATCCAAAGGTCAAACGCCATATGTGTTTGAACAACACCCACTGAGTTTTTACCATGACCTCAGCCAACTGACACTACAATGGAGGGCTTCCCTGTGAGATGTGACCACTCGTTAGAGAGCCGCAGCAGTCCCATACAAGTGGGGTAGCCCACAAGCCCTTATTGTGGAGAAGCAAGGCTAGAGATACAGACTGACCTCAAAGGCGAACGCACACACATTCATGCAATCACTGGGACTCACCATGCCAGACATGGGCCGGTCGACTGACAGACCTATACACCTCTGGGATGTAGACAACATAGCGATCTTCACACCAAGCAGTTCCACTGCTCCAGGATGAGCAACCGATGGCAAAAGTGCAACAGGAATTGTACACCTACACCTATGTTAATGTTGATGTTCATTGTACTTTTTTGCATTTGTTTTCACTTACATATTATTTTATTCTTCAACAACCGTGAATAGCAAGAAGCTATATATATGTTGGAATCTCACTGGGAGCTGCAGGGCTATACGAATGTGGTGCCTATGTTTTAGTCTGCCTATACCCCTAGTCTAAGATCAGTGAGACACTGTCCTAATTCCTATAATTCCTACATGGCTCCTCACATCACCTCTCTCCCCCTCCCCCCCCTCCTTGAGCTCTGGGGTAATGGAATTTAAGACCATAACTCTTCTATACATATCACCATGCCTAAGGCATGACCATACGCATGGTATACCCTTATCAGGTCCTTAATGGATCTAGACAGCGTGCTCTACGAGCTCACACTAGTACAGGCTCACTTCTAGTTAACTCTAATATTACCTTCAGGAGATGGATAATGGTCCCTTACTATTCCCATATGGCCTGGGAAGGTATACATTCAATAAAGGCAATCCATTTGCGACTGAAGTTTTAAAAGTTACCTGCTACCGGCCTGGTTACCAGAGCATGATTATACCTATTTTCTTATTTACAAAAAAGAGGCTGAATTCCGTAAGAGTTAAACCTCTGCACTAATGGCAACTTATACAATTGTACAACTACCACAGCTCTTTGTTTTATCATGTATTCTGTATCTTATGCAAGTGCCTCAATAAAAGAACAAATTAAAAAAACAAAAAAGGTTGTATTACATTTTGACCTGAAAAGTACCAAGTACATCTATGAGCACCCCAAAAAAAAAAATATACAAAAATACATGCTGTACATCTGCTGTATTGAATTTCACAAGTATTTGATCAAGCTAAATGTCTTAAAGAGGTTATAATATAAATTATGAAATTTTACCATATTCTTCATCCAACTCTTTTGCTCTGTTAGTGATCTGCATTTCTAAAAAAAAAAAAATGTGAAAATGGGATTTAAGAGCAGGTTTTCATAGTGAAAGCAAAGGTATCACTGATATGTTTGCTTTGTTTTGCTATAGCTACCTTCCTAACCCTACCTGTGCATTTAATTATTTCAGTGACTGCTACACTGGACTGTTTCCCTAGTGTTGGTGCTGAAAGTAACGCAGAAGAAAAAAAATAATTCTCGGTAGAATTTTCACGGTTTTCTTTTAACCAGAGACGATCAATAGAATTACCAAACAAGTAATTATCCTTAAATAAACATTCTAATACAATGTATGACTATTTAATTCACTTGAATAACATGGCAAATTCTCAAATATAGCAGCACCAAGAGGATCTGTAAAGTCGTACATCCTTTTTAGGTTGATAAAATTAGCATCATTAAGTTGGTTGATAACACCAAGTTATAAGTAAGGCCTCAATGTACTTCTATCTGCTGATAACAGTTGAAAATGATCACCTTTATTCTCAAATATGTTTTTTTTAAATCGAATTTCTGCTGGATTTAATGTCTTGTGAAATTCAAGTAGAACTTTGATAAATGGATCAGCTGACCAAAACAAAATTGAATTGAAAGCACATTTGTTGTCCTTTTTAATGAACAAACCTGTTAGTTACTTAAACAAAATGTAAAAAGCATATGAGGGTCAATATGACCCTCATATTTGCACAAGGGAGGTATAATAACTTCATTGTGTCCCATCCTGCTCTTCTGTAGGTGAAGGCATATCTACTAAACAGTGAGCAGCCAGCATTGTAATTAAAAACTAGTTACTTGGCTTTGCAGTCACTAATAAAAAAGAGGAGGGGGACTTGGCACAGGTGGGCACTGGGTGAGGACTTAAACGTAAATAATGTAGGTCGATAGGTCACTGCCTCACCCATGGTAATCTTCCTGGTTGGGAGTTTCAATTAAAGAAAAAAACTAGGAGGGTGATTTCTAAAATCATCCTAGTGTCCCTCAAACCCCCACTCATGAGCAGAGGCAAGGGGCTATTATTTAACAAATGGAAAGACAGTGGACATCAAAGTCAGTGTTAATTTTGTTGACTAACAATTTTAGTCAGATTTTAGTCGACTAAAACTAGACTAAAACTAAGTCAATTCAGATTACTAAAATACGATTAAAACTTAAATGGTAGTGATGTCTGAAGGGTTCGCCGAACGGTCATATGCGCTGTTCGGTCCGCCCCCTATGTCATCATTGAGTAAACTTTGACCCTGTACCTCACAATCAGCAGACACATTCCAGCCAATCAGCAGCAGACCCTCCCTCCCAGACCCTCCCACAGCATCCATTTTACATTCATTGTGAAGCTGCATTCTTAGTGAGCTGTCCAGGAGGTGGGAGGGTCTGGGAGGGAGGGTCTGCTGCTGATTGGCTGGAATGTGTCTGCTGATTGTGAGGTACAGGGTCAAAGTTTACTCAATGATGACGAATAGGGGGTGGACCGAACAGCGCATATGTTCGCCATCTGTGGCGAACCATTCGGCGAACCTTTCGGGACATCACTATTAAATGGCTTTTTAGTCAAAAGACTATGACTAAAACTAAATTGAAATTTGCCGCCAAAAGTAACGCTGATCCAGGTGTTCACCCCCCAGCTCCCACACATAAGCAGCGAGTGGAAACTATGTAGTAAAGAAGGGGACATCCTAAAGCTTCCCACAGAATCTAGTCAATAAATCTGAACTGATCAATGGCATACCGGGAGTCGATAAACTCTTGAAAAAGATGATTAGCTCTAATTTAAATTGAAGCCTGAGTTTCCACTGGAATGATAGTAAATAACAATTGGACTTCACATACCCAGAAACAGGATTTGCAGAAGAGAAGTCCTAAACAGTTACAATTCCTAATGCTACAGAGTTCCTTTAAATTCTCTGCCTGCTTGGTGGTTATGCAACACGTTTTCCTTTTTTATTCATTTATTTATTTACTGGCATGTTACATCACTTGGAAGTATACTATTGTGTTTAAAGTTCCTGGTATTTTTTACTGATATGTTTTAATGAATTTAGAAAATAACAAATCATTGCTGACCTTAAAATTTCTATTAATGCTATATATTATTAGATCATGTCATATTATTAGATTTCTGTTAAATAAACTGTTGATTCTTTCACTTCCTTGAGTTCTGTGTTTACAAAATTCTTCATCCAGAAGACATTTGTACTGAATACATTTGAAATGATTTAATACGATAACATTACCTTCCACCCGAAGTTCAACTTCTGAACAAAGGACACCCTCTGACATGAAGGGAAGCCACCTAGTTGGGATTACAAAAGACGGATACAATCAGTGGCAGGTATGTTGATGGTATCATTATAGATAAAGTCAAATGTGTAACTAATTTATTTTGAACTTCCCCATGTCATGTTATAAAAAAAAAAATCCTATTAATAAAGTAATTCATAACCTTTCTATCGTCTCCCCAAAAAAAACATGGTTGCATATTAGCTGAAAATGTTTTACAACTTTCTTCTTGTTGGTACTGAAACCATAAATTGTATTAAATCTATTATGTCCCATATTTGAAAGTTTCTTTGCTTCCAACTTACTATGTATACATGGCAGCATTTATAAGTATTGGCTCATAAAGGCAATATCAGTGATCTATTATTCAATCAATGTGATTTCAAATTCTTAATAAATATACTCGATTAACTGCAGTGTCAGAAATAAAATATATGTATCTGTTTTAGTAAAATTTTATTTTCTTCCACAAATGCAGTCACACTTATGAGAGACAAAATGATACTAAACGTGTCATTGATTTCTAATTTTACTATTTTAATATATATATACATATATTAAAATGGGGAAAAAATTATATATATATATATAGAGAGAGAGAGAGAGAAAATATTCTTTCAAACAGAAATTTATTTTTTGAAAGTTTTAATATGATGTATAACTTCCATGGAACCTGCTTTCTTTGAGTTATTAAATTAATTAATATTATAATTTCCCTTCCATGATCTCTCTCTTTTTTTTTTAAAACTATAAGAGTAAAGTTTAAGGCTTTAGAATAATTTACATATAATGGTAAGCAATCTATTTAGAAATTAGCATGCACGAAACTATACAGTTATAAGACATTCTACTTGCAGATGGAAAAAACTAAAATTTGGGCAATAGAATATATAGTAAATCAATATGTTTTATATATATATAAAATGGGTAATGTTCTGTATTATTCTACTTGCAGCAGTGGACTATTCAGCCCCTAACCCCTTAAGGACACAACTTCAGAAATAAAAGGGAATCATGATGGAATATTTCCATCATGTGTCCTTAAGGAGTTAAAGGGACACTGTGGTCACTATAACAATTGGAGTTCCCAGGCACTGTCCCTCCATTCATTATTAAACCATTTTTGAGCAGTTTAACACTTATTATGGGTCCCTGGCGCCCACAGTCTGGCACCTACTAGAGGTGTGGCTAAGGGAGAAAGCAACACTTCCTTCATATAGGAAGTGGCAGTTCTTATAGACTAAAAGCAGTTATCTGACACTCTCAGCCAATCACAGCTGCTCAGGCTAATACTTCCTCATTAGTCAAATCAGCAAGGAGGTGTTTAATGCTGAATGATATGACAGCACCAGGGGACTCCACACACCAGTTCATTTAGATGAAGAAAATCTAGGTCCTACACCAGGCATAGGTCCTACAACCAGAAAGTTTGGACTACACCTTCCATGATGCCTTGTCAGCATTATGGGGGATGTAGTCCACAACATCTGGAGTCCCGAAGGTTGCCTATCCCTGTCCTACACTGTTTCAGGTGTTATAAATAATGACACTGCAAGCTATTAGTGTATATCCGCCATGTTTCAGGAGATACAGGAAGGAAGCACACACCCCAACCGGAAGCACTTGCAATAGAAAATAAACCATAAAGTTAGTTGCATGTAAACCAAACATAACATCCATAACATCTCCCTCTTTTATTATTATTAAATCAACATTGTGAAATTTGGAGTCCAAATCACTGTCCTTGTAATAATTCTACAGGTTAAGTCTCTCAGATGGTTGTGAATGTCTACCACTATGAGCGAAGACTGGTCCAGGTTTTAGCCCCCTCTGAGGTTGCTGGACTCTTCCCACCACTTGCTGGCATGCTTTGAACTTGACTGCCGTCAGGTCCTGCTTGCTCAGAGCTGTCATCAGTACTAGTCTGTGGTATCACTTCTGTACACTCTTTACTACCTACATGTGAGTGTGTCCTTGTAATACCAGGTGTGTCTGGTTTGTCAACTGGATATTTTGAATCGGGCTTCTCGCCTACTCGCAGATCCACATACACATTGTGCCTTTCACTGCAACAGTTCAGACAAGAGAGATGCCAAGACCAAAGTAATAGAATTCAGAGATCTGTGTAGGATATTTAACTAACACTTCACAAACAAGTTTACATTTTTGAGCTTAATTTCTATTTTTTACTTTTGTTTAATTTAATGAGTCATTTAATTCCTTTATTCCCGGGATGGTTAGAAAAAAACAGGAGCACAAAGGCACTGAATTAAAATAATTTAATTTTCCTTAATTGGTATTTAAATTCAGGTGGAAATATTATCCACTTTAGGTAGGTTGTTAGATGTTTTGTAAACTGCAAGAGTTGCAAAACATTAGTAGGTGATCCGTGTCTTCAAAGTTATTTGTAATGCACTAATGAACATACCATGCATTGTTCTCTAAGATACTCCAATGATCAGCTTTCTTTACACCAGTACAAAACATGACTGTCATTCTTAATCAAGACTGCCATTCTTCATCAACTCTGGGTCACAAGCTATACATTTTCAGTGTGCTCAGTAATGTATTTAATAAGATCTAGGCATTTTAAATGTGCCTCAACTCAGAAGAAGCTTAGAAAGGTCATTTTATTAACTAGTTCACTTCTGAGCTGTTCAAAAACATACTTTCAGAGAAAACGAAACTTGTCAGTCAGGATTGTGGAGTATGGATTGTTATTTAATTTACACATATAGATTCGATATCTAAAGGTTATCAGGTAGAATACTTAAATAGACACTATAGTCACCAGAACCACTTAATGTAATGGTTCTGGTGTTTATAGCATGGGCATGCAGCCATAGCACTGTAAACTTTTCAGAGATAAGGCAGTGTTTACATTACTACCTAAGAACACCTGTAGTGACAGTCACTCAAACAGTCAATAGAGGTGCTTCCTATGTCAGTGTTGCACATTGTGTAGCACTGGAATTTAGCGTTCCCCATGATTCAATGCATCTATATGAGAAGATGCTGATTGGTGCAGCGCTGGAGGAAGGATTAGATGAGGCAGGTCACAACAATACCAGTGTGGCATGGGAGAAAAGGTGAGTAAAATCACCTTTAACCTACGGAGAGAGGGGCCAGAGACCTAATGCTGCATTCCAGGACTATAGTGTCAGGAAATAAAATAGAATAAACTAGATCCCTCTGACACCTATACACTATAAGCTACAGATGACCGGGATCAGTAATCTGTTGGTAACATCTGTTATATCTGAAGGAAGCCATTGAGGCCTATATTGAAAGGCCTGAAAACTGACAAGGATATTTGAAGCAGCCTAGACCACTTATTATCTTGAATCATCAATCACACAGCCGAGAGAATGGATGTATAGGCATGCTGCAATTGCAGTTTGAGAAGAACAGGAAGTTCAACATTCTCTCCAAGATAACAGACCTATTCATCAAGCATATTCCAAAAGAGACAGTGATACGAGTACGACCTCCTCACCGCTTAAAATTCTTACGGTACTCTAAGTGTGAATGAGAGAGTAAAGATCTCACGATGGACCTCCATAATGAAAGAAGTTTATAGAAAATCCACCAAAAATCCAAAATGTAGGGCATTCCAATATAGCTAAAAGACCTTGTTGTGTCGTCTTAATGACTTATCTATTTCTAATTCTACATTGCCTATTTTAGATTGGTTTGTTTTCTGGATCATAAAGAGACCCAAAGTAATGTCCATGAGTTTTTTTCTTACACTCAATCACAGAAGCAGAGTTGGAAACAGAGCTGCATTTAGAAAGATGACAATTTTCCAGATATTCTTCAATTCTACTTCTATTCCAGAAAACTGGATTTTGGCATATGATTGTATTTGTTTTAACATAATGGTCCCTGAGGGAGCTCCTTAATGGAACGAAACGCGTGGGACCATATAATTTTTATTGTTTTATCATTTTATTCCCATAATAAAACACCTTTTTATTACCTACTATTCACAGTCCTGGATGGTTCCTGATTATCAATGGTGACTACAAGCACAGGAAGAGACCATAGCGCCCATCACCTTCGGTGGAGTCACCCTTGGAGCACTTTAAATTCTAAATGTTTGAGAGAGCAATCTATCATAGTGTAACTTACCTATA